CACCCACTCCCAACTCTTTCGCTTAAGTGCTGTAAATATTGGGTTTTCTGTTTGGGGGGATTATGATACTTATCTAATGAAAGAACAACTAAAGCAAGGTCCCAAACCTGTTGGAGCTACAAACTGCAGCCCCAGGCTTGCTTAGCTCTGCACACTGTCACAAGTAGAGAGGTTTCTCTGTAGTTCCCACAGGCCTAATAGCGATTTAAGCTACTCACTTTAGTACCAACAAATGTAGTTAGTCGCCCTAGCTATTTAAGCCAAATGCTACTCCATCAGAGCTTCAACTATTTGGACGTTTTAGGCCTGAGGTCGGTCTTTCAAAGTTAGAGTAAGCAGGATGGTGTACTTGGGGGAAACACTACACCATATTGCCACCATATGGCAACCAAGTAGAGTTAAATAATAGTAGGGGGATGAAGCACGGCTTACTTAAAAACTCTAATTAATCAAAAGTTTTATTTCATAGCAGTATTGCATTTTCAGAATGCATTAATCTTTTCTTCCACATTTTGCACAATTTTCTCTTACTAATATCCCAGCAGTGGGAACCTAGTCTTTTTTGTATAAGAGAAGGCTCTCTCACTCTTCCAAGTGGGATAATAAGCCCCGTTGGGATCTACTCTTGTCATTCTAAGTTTTTAGTGACCATTGAATACAGAACACAAATAAAGACACTCAGAATTTAGTTACATGGGTACATAATAGCATACTATATACATTTCATAATAGCAGTGCCTAATCTACCAAAACATACTATTTATTCAATATAAAAATAATGGCTGAGCCAAGGGACCAAGTGGTTGAGAGTTTGAGGACCAAAGATGGACTGTATTCTTATTGTTTACAGATCCTGACTTGTGTTAAACTGCTAAGCTCTCTAAATAAAATGCCCTTGATTGTGAAAATAAATTAATATAAAAATAAGGCCTGATCCACCTGTAGCTTCGTGGATCACTGGGGCTGCCCGTGGACCAGAGGCTAGGAACGAATGAGCCCGAAGAACCAAAGTTTGTACAATGTGCCAGTTTCTATGTGTGAAGCATCGCCTTCACTAGCTCTGAATTTTACGGGGGAACTGATTTTGTCCTTGGAAGGAAAAAGAAGAGTAAAAGTAGCCTATCTTGATAGAATAAGTACCTTGGGGCTTTGTGACTCTTTCTTAATTGCGCGGCAATTTGCAGCAAATCTACAGCAAGGCTCTCTGAGGGGCAGAGGGCTGCTCATTTTGACAGCCATGGTGAAAAGCTCCCACCACAAGAACAAACGTGGTAATGAATTTAAAAAGAACTAAACTGTGATTATATCTGCCTGGAAGATATACTATATGGAAGGGCATGATTCTGAGAAGTCACCATAGAACCCCTGGATGGTGAGTGACAAAAGCAGCCTGTGTGAGCAGGGGACGTTAAGTGGGACTGTCTCACCATGAGAATAAACGGATGTCTCGGGAATAAAAGGTGCCTTGTTTGTTGGCATATGTGAAGACTTAGGCAATGTTTTGTTGGAGTCTCTAAGCTTTCTGGTTGAATGAGATGCAAATTAGCTTTCAGAGGACAAAGGAACAGTTGTTTTCAGTTTTTGTTTGTTTATTGTGTGTGTTTGTGTTGGTTGGTGGGTTTTGGTTTGTTGCTTTCTCTTGTCCTCTTTTAAAACATAAACATCACTGCATGAAGGCATGAGTAGCATTTATATTTAATGATTTTCTTAATGAACATGGAGAGGCAAACATTTGGCCAAAAAAAATACCCAAACAAACATTTTTCTATTGTAATTGAAGGTGATGCAAATAAATAAGGTTAGATGGTGTAATCAGGCAGATTTAAGAAAGAGAAGGGGCAAAGAGGAGTCCCTGGATGGTACAGTTAAAACCTTCAACTAGTAACAGAGAGGTTAATGGTTCAGATTAGAAAAGGCCTGAGAGACTACTGAAAAATGAGCCATGGACAATCCCAAGGAGCATTGCTTCACTGTGAGGTACCTGGCATTTCTAGGAATCAGGATCTGCACAACAGTGTCTGGGATAAAAGTGCAAAGAGAGGTTTGATACTTTCTGGGGATTGCTGAAGACAAAGCGGGTGCATAAGCAAATGTGGTGAAGAAAGCTGATAGTGCCCGGCTATCAAAAGATATAGTGTCTGGGGTCTTAAAGGCTTGAAGATAATCAAGCAGCCATCTAGCTGAGAAGCAACAAATCCCACCTGAAAGAAGCACACCAGCCTGTGTGATCACGAGACGTTGATAAGATCAAAGAAAAAATATATATCATTGTGAATAAGGGGGAGTGCTGAGTGGAGACCCAAAGCTCATCTGTAGGCAACTGGAATCCCCTTACAGAAGGGTCTCGGTAGGAGACAAGCCAGTCAGAGTGCAGTATACCACCGATGAAACATAACAACTTTCCTCTATCAAGAGACCAGTTCTACCTTATAAATCCAGCTAGACCAGAGGATGTACATTGGTACAGAGCAGAGCTGGAAACACAGAGAATCCAGGACAGATAAACCCCTCAGGACTAATAATGAGAGTAGAGATACCAGGAGGATAAGGAGAAGGTGGGGGAGAAATGGGGAACTGATCACAATGATCTACCTATAAGCCCCCCACAGGGGGACCGACAACAGAAAAGTGGGTGAATGGAGACATCGGACAGTGTAAGACATGAAAAATTATAATAATTTGTAAATTATCAAGGGTTTGTGAGGGGGGAGATGGGGGAGTGAGGGGGGAAATGAGGAGCTGATACCAAGGGCTCAAGTAGAAAGCAATGTTTTGAGAATGATGATGGCAACAAATGTACAAATGTGATTGACACAATGGATGGATGGATGGATTGTGATAAAAGTTGTATGAGCCTCCCAAAAAAGATGTAAATAAATAAATAGAAAAACTTTAGTTAAGAAAAGAAAGAGTGTTAATAGAGTAGTGAGTTGAGGAACTTGGGTGGGTGGGAAAATGTGGGTGGGAAGGGTAAGCTTTCCTAGGGTTCTAAACTCAGAACAGGACCTTTGGATTCTGGTCCTGCATTTGGCATGTTGGTTGGTTCTCTGTCCTTGCCAGTACCCAAGATTTCTCTTCTGCTGTATGTTCCATTTGAAAGAGAGTCCATTATCCTAATACAATCAATCGGTAATTGGTAAGTCAACGATGTAGTAGCAATTTATAAAGACATTAACATTCTCAGAATATACACTAAGCATATATGTTAGAAATATATCACTGGTCTCAATATAGTAGGTTCAAGAAGAGTTTTATTATTTTTTTGGACAATTAAAACTATAGCATGGGTTACCAGCTATATTGAGAAATTACTTATTATAATTATAATAATGAAACAAAAATAATAGCTCTTATATCTATTTTAGAAACCTCCATATCTAGAAATTTCTATAATTGATATCAGGCTTTGTACATTAATCTAGACATATTTGGCTCACTTTACTTCTCGGGATTTAAAAGTATGAAATGTTAAAGCATTAATCATAGTTGTGACATTCCCATATAATTTTGGAAGTAGTCATCATTGCATTTTCACAATGATTAAACGAACCTGTTAACTATTGATCATTTCCTACATTTTATCCAAAGAAAGGACTATATTATAATTTGTCTTACACCCCCACCTTAAAAAATTCATTTTTTTCCTATTCCTTTTAAATGTCATAAATGTGTTATTATGGTGCGACTTTCTCTGTTGTTTTCATGGTTACAAAGCTCTAACCCGAAAAAAGAAGATGTGAATTTAAGTATTAACACTGTAGTTATTAATAGTATGCTGGGATAAGGCACCCCTGTCTGTTCAAAGTTATAGAGAAAATAACCTACAAGTCCCAAAGTTAGGTCAGAGTGATGACGACATACAGAGTGGAATGTGTGATGTGTGGATTCACTACAGCTCATTTGCTGTTGTTAGTAAGAACTTCTCTCTTGTTGAGTTTTTGTTGCTGCTGCTGTTGTTTTGGGAATCTCCTGAAGATGGAAGTTATTGAGGCCGGAGGACTTCTGGAACCCAAAGACTTTCCTTCACCAAGGCACAAGGAGGAAAAGTCCAGGGAGGGGCCTTTGTCTCAGCCATCGGTGCTTTATTCTGTGTTCATTTCCAGCCAGCTGTGCCAGAGCACTAAAGCAGGGTATTGGTATTTGTATTTGCTGAGCATCTCCATTCTATTTCTTTTGCAAACACACCTAGTCGATTATTCCAAGTGTGAAAATCCGAGACTAGCTGTGAATCAGGGTTGTATGCACCAGGAATCAGGTTCTAATCAGGGTTGTATGCACCAGGAATCAGGTTCTAAATTACAAAGAATATCAAAAGGTATGAAGGGCTGGAAAGTGGAGTTGCCTATCATGTGCTGTTTTTCTCTCCCTTACAGGTGCCACATGTTCATGTAATGGAGAAATGCTTGCATATCAGAATGATATGCAAAGAATGCTGAGACAACATTTTTGGGGGGTCCGCAAGACAGTGAGCGTAGCTTTATATGGAGGTTTGAATTTGTCCCAAGGACTAAGAAGAAAGGGGATACGGCTTGTAGTCATTACGTTACCCTGATTTTAAACGTCCATACATCAGGGGAGATGTCTTCTCATTTCCTCCATTGCTTTTCAATTTTTTCAGGAACTTGCATTGAATAGCCATTTCACTGTGACCTTCAAATGTATGTGTGTTTAGTAAGTTGGTGAAATCCTAGCTCTGAATGAAAACAGCTGCTCTGACAATAGATTGCCTTTTCTCATCAGCAACTCCTGGGATCAAACATTTCCTGCCAGGACTTTGGGGATAAAATCACCACCTGCAGCTCCCTTGGCATGCTGTGGTTCCTGGCAGCTTCTGGTGTTTGGTTTTCAAGGCGAGGTTGGGGCTGGGGCGTGGAAGAATGGCAGCCATGACCTAGGGGTTGGGTCAGTTGTACTTGGTTGAGCATGCCTATGTTGGATATGTATGTTTCCCTGGACGCATGATCTGTCTGCAAATAAACCCATCTCTATTTTATTCATAGTTCTAATGGCAAGTCTGTGTCATGGTCTGAACCAGGTGGAAGACAGGTGCCCAAAGGACAGCACATGTGGCACCGCCTCTCTGTGCACGTGAAGACCCCTGAGACGGCCTGCAACCAAACGGCCGTCATCAAGCCCCTCACTAAAAGTTACCAAGGCTCCGGCAAGAGCCTAACCTTTTCAGATACCAGCACCAAGACCCTTTACAACGTGGAGGAGGAGGATGCCGATCCTATCCGCTTTAGTCCTCCCAGTAGCCCTTCCATGGTGGTGCACCGTCGCGTGCCGACCGCGGTGACTACCCCCCCTCTGCAGCCCCACCTGACCGCAGAGGAGACCCCCCTGTTCCTGGCAGACCCTGTCATCCCTAAGGGCTTGCCCCCTCTCCAGCCGCAGCAGCAGCCGAAATCCCTGATGGACCAGCTGCACGGCGTCATCCACAACTTCAACACAGGGATCCCCGACTTCAACGCGGTGCTCGCTGTCCCTGGGGGCCCCGGCAATGGGTTGCGGTCCCTGTACGTCCCCCCGCCCCCTGCACAGCATCTGCAAATGCTCCCGCTGCAGCTGAGCACCTTCGGAGACGAGCCCGTGTCTCCCCCGGCAGAGGACGAGGACGACAGCGAGCGGTTCAAGCTCCTGCAGGAGTACGTGTCCGAGCGCGAGGGGACCACCGAGGAAGACGAGCTGGAAGAGGACGAGGAGGGCCTGCCTGGGGCCAGCAAGCTGACCCCGGAGGACTCGCCGGCCCTCACGCCGCCCTCGCCTTTCCGAGACTCGGTGGCCTCGGGCAGCTCGGTGCCCAGCTCCCCTGTGTCCGAGTCCGTGCTCTGCACCCCGCCCAGTGTGACCTACGCCTCGGTCATTCTGAGGGACTATAAGCAAAGCTCCTCCACTCTGTAGGGGGGAGGCATCCGCATGGAAAGCAAGGGGCAGGGAGCCCTGGCCAACGGACACGAGCAAGGGCAGAGGCCAGAGGAGGCTGCTGCTGCTGCTGAGGCCCTGAGCCTGTGTGTGTGTGTGTGTGTGTGTGTGTGTGTGTGTGTGTGTGTGTG